AGTCACCGCTGGCCGTGAACTTACAACATCTTACAACATCTTACAACATCTTACAACATCTTACAACATCTTACAACATCTTACAACATCTTACAACTCGGTATTGCACTACTTCCTCTTGCTTCCTATTACTTCCTATTACTTCCACATATACTCCCAGCTTCATCCACTCTTTGGCGTCTCAGGTTTCGAGTGGGTGGTAGATTTGGGTTTCAGGATGCTTTAAGTGTTTTGTAGTACCAGTACAGTTTGGGGATCAATGAATCAAAGGGACATCTGGACACCCCCTGTGAGCTTAACAGTCCAGCCATGTCCAGCCAGCCCAACTTCAGTAGAGACAAATGGTAAACTATTCCCGTAGTACATCTTTAGCAGGATCTCCACTAGGGTTTGGCACGATCAAGAACTTGTTCTATTCAACCCAAGCATGACTGCAATGGTTGACCGATTTCACATACCCAACCAATTAGTGGCGCACAAAAAAAGGTAAAAAAAAGGCTCCGTACGATAAACATCACAAGATGTGTGTGGGGGGGACGAACCTCCCATACAGGTACTGCCGGTCTTCATCTCATGTACGTCCCAACTCTTTGGAGGGATCTCATACAAAGTAATTAAGTAATTTTAAATAGATCCAAAATGATCCAAATAAATCAGTCAAGATCAGTCGTATTGCAATAGGAGACTTATGGAGACTTTGTCAACAGTCAATAACATAAGTCGAAATTTATTGGTCGTGAGAACAGGGTGCCTAGTACATAGAAAGTGGTCTTCCTGGTGGCCTTTCTCTACTACTTAGCTTCTTAAGTGTCCCTTATGTCTTTGCAACTCCGCAGGTTCTCTACTCAAGTGGTTCTCTTCGTGTTTTCTGTGTGTTTTCTTTGTTGTCCTACCCTTGTAATGCTGTACCAGTAAGTGTAGGTTTGCATGCAACCCTTGCACTCTGACCGGGGAACCAACTGTGCACAAGGTCAAGCTGAAAAAAACAAGCTCTTTGCCTTCATTGCGAATTGGAGTCCGCTCTCAATGGAATGTTCAAAACTCAGCAGACCTCAAGTCAATGGCAATACAGCATAGAGTTCTCCATGCAATGGACTGATGACTGCACGTTCAAGACATGTGCCCAGATGGCTCGTATGCCCTCGTTTCATGTTGAGGCCTTTTGTTTGCAGTTTGTCCTTATGGATTTTATGGATCCTTATGGCACGCAGCTTTGCTCCAAAATTCCCACCTGAGGATCGACACCACATTGCCCATTTCTGAGTGCTTGAACCGCTGCTGAGATGGTGCATCTCACGTGCGGTGACTGTTGTAAGCACTTCCCTGATTTTTTGTGGTTGATCCGAGTTGATCCTTTCATGTCCTTTCCAAGTTTCAAAGTCTTGCTGGGCTTCGCTGCTTCTGCCTAGGCAGACCATTTGGGCAATCGTGACATGAACCTCATCCACATGCTGACAAGTGTCGACACACAGGAGCAGAGTGATGCAGAGTGCACACCAGACAGACCAAAGCATCCAAAGCCACGCAGCATGACCTGGTGAGCACCTTTGCTAACTGCAAATCGCATCGAAGCATCCTTGATGTATCCCAAATATTCCCAAACTATTTATCGTTTGATCTAATGGGCACTGGACACTTCAGAAGTATCAACTGACGTTGCCATTCTCATTGTGAACGATGTAGACGATCAAGGATCAACCTGTTAAGAAGCAGCAAGTTAGGTGCAAGTTGCATTCCGACAGGAACAAGAGAAATGCATGGCGCGGGTGAGAAGAAAAATTGCGGAGGCCACAAGTTCTCTGACGTGCGAAGGATCTTGTGAGATTTTGTTTTGGATCTTTTCAAGCGCTTGTAACAGTTTGTATGCTTTCCGCTTTTACACTTTAAATCTTTTGAGTATTTGAGATAGGATGCCGTATTTTGAGTGTCTGTCAGAGGTGCCAAGGTGCTGTCGGAGTCCTGTTGAGTTGAGGGTCTTGTCCATGGTGCTGTCTTATGCATTGTGGTCAGTGCTCCCAGTGCTCCTAGCGATTCTAGTGCTGCTTCTTCTCAAAAGCTTCTAACACAATGCCGTGTAGCGAGAACTGTATAGGTTCCGCCAATATTTTTTAAGCTGCTGCAAAATTCTTGGCTGCAGCCGCCCTGAAACTTTGCCGGCGCTTTTAAAATATCTTAACGGCGGTCTTGGTGCCCGCAACATGTGCAGGGATGTGTAGCATTCATACGTCAATCGAATGGTAGGTTGTAGAGTAATTATTGCATGATATTGCATGCTTGTGGCTCGTAAATTGTTGTGGATGCACTCTTGAAGCCGGTTAAGCCGGTTAAGTGGTTAAGCGCTTGAAATCAGATCTTGCTTCGCAGAACCCGACTATGGACTGGTTCGAGGAGCAGCTCAGACTGGAGGAGGCTGAGAACACTCTGTTTTGAGGGGGGCTTGACACAAAGGAGTCCATTTAAATCCATTTATATGATCATATTTAGACATTTTGTCATACTTGTACTGACTTGTACAGTACTTATATGATTTTAGTTGTTTTTATGTCTTTTCATGAGTTCATTGTGTGTCACACCGAGCACAAACGGAAGGAACGCAATGCCCAGATATGGGCTCCGGATTCTGATGAAGAAGATGAAGAGGAGGCCGTAGAAGGATGTATAAGGGATATATAAGACGCATATGTGTAACTTTACATATAAGAGTTTCATATAAGTATTATAAGAGGCATAAAGTTACTGACGCAGGACTTGCGATATCTTCCGATGAAGTCTACCAGCTTGGCGTTTTTTTTTTTGTGTTGGCCCTCGGACCAAAAATAACAACAATGTGTTTTGTTGACACAAGAAGAATACTCTGAGGACGTGTTCTGCCCTTCAGCAACTAACGATCAAAAAAAGCTTTGCAGAACTTATTGATTACTGTTTGCAGCCAAGATAAATATATATTTCGTACGGCAAGAGAAGTGTGCTGTTTGGTCATCGTTGGGAATCAGGCTCTCCTGATTAATGTGTAGGTTGGTGAGAAGGTATCTCACATTGTTCTTTGCATCCTAACATCTTCAGCACGCAGAGAGGAAATAGCCATCCGGCCGTCCGTTTTGAATGCCACCTACATGTCCGTGCTGTGCGTATTTGGCAATTCTACGGCATATTGCATTGTTTGATCACGGTTTCATACATGTGTTGATCGAGTTTAAAAAAAGGTACGTTTTGTGTAAAGTCTTTACTTTCAATTCTTGGCGCGCTCATTTCATTCTAATTGTTTATTTTGCATTGTCTTCTCTGCAATTGTAGATAAGCAGCAAATGTTCTTCACTGTTTCTCTGTCCGCAGTAGCCGGTTCGCTCTGCAAACTTGCTTCGTTGCTCAAGATTGCCAGTTCTTGTACAAGATGAACGGTTTACTATACCAGAAAGTATAGAAATTTAACAATGGAAATCCACGATTATGTCTGGACATGGATTGAAGGTCACTGTGAAAAAGGCAAAGGGTGCTTTCTCTTTCGTTTTTGTTGCCACCTATCTCGTCTCGTTCTTGGCTTCATCCTTTAATTCTGTTTTGGCCAAAACCAACTTGAAACTACCGTACTTAAATGGCTCACTTGAGTCTGCATCTCTGAGTTCCATCAACATCCCTGCGGGCAGCGCAGGAAGCTCTTGAGAATGAGAACCCGGTCGAAGTCAGCCACGCATGAGAGCGCCTATGCCTTGGTGTATGCTACTGTATATACTACATATATATATATATACATATATTACTTGGTACCCGACCCTCAGACGACCGTGTGGTTTCAAGGACATCCTTGAGGATCAAAACAACGATGTTCATGTTTCAGGGAGTTAATTGTCATGTTTTGAAAATGTACCAAAGTATTTTATTTTTCATCCCAAGACTCTTCAATGTCACCTTTTCTCGTCACTACGCCCTAGCCGCATCCAGAAGCTTCTCCAACATTTTGTGATTGTGGTAGATTTATATCCCACAGCCAAGCGCAGGTGGAAGAGCAAGTAACGTAACAGCACATCCCGAACGCTACAGTATTGCCTTCCCCACCCCCCAACCCTTCAACCCCCACCAAACGCTCACCCTAAACCGTCCCCCAAACAAAAAAGGGCAAAAAGGTGATTTCGTACCATGGCCATCTAAGGGTCGGGGCGTTACTACTTGCTACCCAATGATACCCAATGCTCCATTTTCTAAGTTGGATATGAACATAATTTGTATGGACATTTGTGATAATTTGTGCTGACATGTTGCTTGCAAAGTGATACTAAATAGGCCACTCGCCTATTAAATCACAAGGATTGGAATGAGAAGAAACGATCGGACATTGATTGCCCTCGACCGTTTTGTTTGCAGAAGGCCAAGGTGCTCTCAGGCATTTGGTTTCAGTAGAGTTTCTTGCTCGCAGGGCGTTTGGCAGTGACTATTCATTCCGTAGCTGCAGCAATACAGGAATACAGCAAGTTGCGTGCTTGTTTGCAAACGAAACAGACAATCAAAAGAAAAACACAGAGGATATTCCAATCACAAACCTGAAGACTTACACGTTCATCCGTCTCTACTTTGCACATCCCTGCAGACAGACGCCGACATTACACAATTTCCATACTATCACATAAAGCCCGGACAGAACGCATAAGCGTGGAGCCGGATGCGTGCATGCATGCAGTGCATGACACTTCATCCTGCAACAAGGAACAGCAGATCTACAGCAAAATCTTACATATTATAATAATGCTTGTATGATATCACAAAACAATCAAAAACAGGCTGCTTGCTGCAATAGGCTGCTCTACAATAAAGTTTGCAATTCCTTTCCATCACATTGCAATGCGTCATATCACCTTCGGTCACATTACATGCATCGCAGACACTACACAGGTTACAGACGAATGAAATAGTCTGTAACAGTGCGTTCATCAAGAAACGTTCCGTTGCATCACAGCGCATTTCCTGGTATCGCCCTACACTGCATGCAATGGATTATCTAATAGTGC